TCTTCCTCCCTTCCTCCCTCCCTCCCTTCCTTCCTCCCTCCCTCTCTTCCTTCCTCCCTCCCTCTCTCCATCCCTCCCTCTCTCCATCCCTCCCTCCCTCTCTCCTTACCTTCCTCCCTCCCTTCCTCCCTCCCTCTCTCTCTCCTTCCCTCCAGTTTGAGACAGGTTCTTACTCTGTAACCCATTCAAGCTTTGAACCTGCCTCAGCCTCCAGGGCTGATATGGGTGTGGCTGCCACACCTCCTTTTGTGCCATAAGAAAGTACAAAGTCACTCGATCACCCGTGGCTCCTGGTACACCTTGTGGCTTGCTTCAGAATCCATCAGGGCTCCATCTTTGGCTCTGTGAGGAAGCACTCATTCTGATGTGCCTCTGGCCATAAGTCAGTTTTCTCAAAGCTACAGAAGCAGGCGCTGGTGTCTGAGGTGTGTTAGACTGCTGCTGTCCTCACTGCCTGCTGAGGGGTGAACTTTGTGTTGTTCTGATTTCTGGAACGCTCAGACCGTTACTTCTATGAAATACAACAAAAGGATTTATTTGCTGGAAAAATCCCTTGGGCCTGTGTGTGGTCATGTGATGTTGAGATGTTACAGTCCTTTGTGGAGCTCAGCGTCTGCATTGAACCTTGTCTGAGACCTGCCACAGAGCACTGAGTGCTGTATTGCTCTGGGTGGACAATGTGGGACTGACCTGCTGCTGAGAAGGCAGTGTGCTTCAGGGACAGTGGGTTTTAGGAGGACACCCTGACCCCACAGGATCACACACATCCCCAGGGCTGTCTCCCTGCAGTGTCCTCTTGTGCCGTGGAAGTCCTCTTTTGGAACCTACCTGGTTTGAGGGCAGGGGCTTATTACTTAGCTCGGTGTGGCTCTGGGCCAGGGCCCTGAGCAGGGGCCACAGGAATGGGTTGGAGGGCCAAGGTTGGGAGTGAATGGCAGTCCTTGCAAGTTATCATGCGGAGTGTGCCAGTGCCTGGGGTGATGTTAGCAGAGACCCTGGTCCACCAGTGTTCCCACCTTTGAAGTGGGCATGCTTGAGTCCTAGAGTCATGGGGTGTCAGCTAGAAGAGAAGGCAAGGGTCGCCTTGTCCCATTTGTTGTCATACCAAGGCCATTACAGAACTCATGACCCCAGCCACACCAGGCCAGTTGTTTGCCATCTTCTCCCTGGTCTCTGGCCTCCTCTGGAGCAAATGCCAGAGACTTGGGGGGCCTGATATGGGGGAGTAGCAGCTCCCTGGGGCCTTGGCTCACCCTGGGCTCGTTTCATTCAAAGCTTTCGACACTGTGTGCTCCGCCTGACTGAGAACAACTCACAGCCCTTGATGACCAAGCTGCAGTGGCTCTTTGCTTTCCTGGAGCACAGTCAGGTGCGTGCTGGTACAGTGGGGCAGGGAGGTAATGCCAGGTCCTGCTCTGGCACTGTTCATGTCTCCAAGACCTGCCACAACCTAGCTAGAAGCTCCCGCTCTGTGGATTGAGCTGCTGAGCCCCAGCCCCTGCTGGCACCAGTTCATAGCCAGACTTCCAGGCCCATTCAGTGTCCTTATGGCAGGGGGTGCACCTGGAGCCTCTTCCTGGGGTGCCACTCCAGCTCCCCTTCAGCGTTCAGTCCCGGGCACTAATGCACCCCATCTGCCGATTGTAGGCACCTCAGTTACCTGGGTCTCTGCTCTGGGTGAACGAGCACCACCTCTGTCCTTACAGAACCCAGAGCCGTGGCCAGGGGTGTGGGAGGGCCTCTGTCTGGTGCTTGAAAGGGGAAACAGAACAGGCTGGGGGCTTTGACAGCACACAGCAGAGGGGACAACCCATGAGGAGGAAGTGGAGGAGGCAAGGCTTTGGGAAGGTGTCATGGAAGAGGCCTCGGTAACCTGGGGGACTCATTTTGGTGAGAGTGAGGGATGTTTTAGGCAGAGAAAATAATGAACAAAGGCCTGGAGAGACTTACCGTGGTCTGTGAGGGCAGGGCGGATTCCTAGAGTTACACCAAGGTGATGACACCCCACTCCGGGGCTGCATGGACTGTGGGATGGGATGTGAGTCAGGGCCAGTTTGGAAGGGGGAAGGCTGTAGGTTAGGAGGCTGGTATCTTTGGAACATAGCACTGCCTGCTGCTGGGCATGGGGCTTGATCTCCTCACCCCATCTTTCACCTGCCTTGTCCTAGAGGCCAGCCATCTCTCCTGAGAACTTCCTCTCTGCGTCCTGGACACCATGGTTCAGCCCTGGGACCCAGCAGGACTGTTCAGAGTATCTGAAGTACCTGCTGGATCGGTGAGAAAGGCTGGTGGGTTGGGGGTGTGTGTGTGGGCCCCAACAACATTCTGGGGAGACAGCTTGTCCCTCTGAGCTGGGTTGGATGTTTTTGGAAATAGGAACATTTCCTTGCTCTTCTGAAAGGCAGAGGAAGGTGTGGACCATAGGTGTCCAAAGATGCTGAAGTACAAGTGAAGCCTGGGCGGGGGCCTGTCAGTGTGTGCATGTGTATCCACTGTGCTGCCCGAGCGTGCTAATCCTCATCACACAGCTCTAGGTCCATCTTTATGTAGGCACGTGCTAGGTGAGTGTGTCAACACAGAAGTGTGTCAGCATGCCACTTCATACAGCGATGGGAATTGTCTTGCCAGGCTCTTATGTGTGTCAGAAGTATGGTGGGCAGTGTGCTGGAGGCGGGCCTGTTTGTAGGTATGTACACCTGCTCTCCCTGCTTGTTCTAGGCTTCATGAAGAGGAAAAAACCGGGACGAGGATCTGCCAGAAGCTCAAGCAGTCCAGCTTGCCCTCCCCACCGGAAGAACTCCCTAGCTCCAGCGCGACATCTGTGGAGAAAATGTTCGGAGGCAAGATCGTGACTCGGATATGCTGTCTCCACTGCCTCAACGTTTCCTCCCGGGAGGAGGCCTTCACAGACCTCTCTCTGGCCTTCCCTCCTCCCGAGCGATGTCGCCACCGCCGCCTGGGCTCCGTGATGCTCCCAACAGAGGATGTGCGAGCCCAGGAGCTGGCACCGGCTCCCAGAGCTCCAGGGGCACCGAGGCAGAGGAAGCACTGCATCACAGGAGATGCTCCCTGCACTGGACTAGACATAGAGGGTCTGGGCATCATCAGCACTGGTGGACAGAGTGGGCAGGAGGAGAAGCTGGAGAGGGAGCAGGCCGGGAAGGAGAAGGAGGCAGCAGAGGAGGAGGAGAAGGAGGAGGAAGGAGCAAGGGAAGAGGAGAAGGAGGAGGGGGAAGAGAAGAAGAAGGAGGATGAAAAGGAAAAGGAAGCTGAGAATGGCAAGGAGGATGGCGACAGCTTGGGACCAGGGACCCCTAGGGATGCTGCCGTCCCACCCAGGGAGCAGGTCTGTGGTCCCGAGGGCTCCCGCTCTGTGCTAGATCTGGTCAACTACTTCCTGTCCCCTGAGAGGCTGACAGCCGAGAACCGTTACTACTGTGAGTCATGCGCCTCCCTGCAGGATGCAGAGAAGGTGGTGGAGCTGAGCCAGGGTCCACGCTACCTCATCCTCACACTACTGCGCTTCTCCTTCGACCTGCGTACCATGCGGCGCCGCAAGATCCTGGACGATGTCACCATCCCCCTCTTGCTGCGCCTGCCACTGGCCGGGGGGCAGGGACAGGCTTATGACCTCTGTAGTGTGGTGGTGCACTCTGGAGTGTCCTCAGAGAGTGGCCACTATTACTGCTACGCCCGTGAGGGTGCTGCCCGGCCGACCCCTGTCCTGGGATCCACAGACAGGCCTGAGCCTGAGAACCAGTGGTACTTGTTCAATGACACCCGGGTGTCCTTCTCGTCCTTCGAGTCGGTCAGCAACGTCACCTCCTTTTTCCCTAAGGACACTGCCTATGTGCTCTTCTACCGCCAGCGGCCCAGGGAAGGGCCTGAGGCCGAGCCTGGCTCTCCCAGAGTCCGAGCAGAGCCCACCCTCCACAAGGACCTGATGGAGGCCATTTCCAAAGACAATGTCCTCTACCTGCAGGTGAGTCCCCTGCTGAGGGTCAGTAGATGCCACTCCTGGGTGAGGACTTGGCCCAGCACAGCCACACACACAGACCAGTTATCTGTTCTTCGGAGTTGTCCTCAGTTTAAAATCCATCCACTCAGCACTTAGTAGGGGTATGTTGGAGGCTGGAAAGGCACATCCCTTAAGCTCAGAGGAATGGACCCTGAATAATAGCACAAACTGATGATGCTCAAAGAGAGAGTTGTGGAATTAATGGGCAGGGACTGCTTCTGGGGCTCTCAGAGGGGCCACTTCTCCAGTGGCCTTCATGTCCCCATGTCCTCCTTTGTCACTGTCTTGGGCTCCCTCAGCAGAGTCAAGAGCAGAATCAAAATATTCAGCCATGGGGTGGCCCCACCAGGGCTCTGTGTTTCCTGCACCTGGAGTTGGAGTTTCCTGTGAGGAACGTGAGGGCATGGGACACCAGCCCGCTTCTACATTGATCAGGCCCTGTCGCTGAGATTGGTGAAATCTGAGAGGCTGCTCTTATTTTAGCAGGGAAGAACTTGCTACGTGGGCAGAAGATGGACCTCAGCTGAGGCCAGGAAGCCTGGAGAGGTTTTCTTGAGGTCCTAGGCACTTGTCAGCTAGTCATCTAGTATGAACAAGTTCTTCTCCAAGAGGCTTGAGTGATTATTGAGAGGAAAGTGTAGTTAGATTCTTAGACCTGAAGTCCTCCATCCTGCTCCTCAGGCGGCGGCGTGTGTGTGTGTGTGTGTGTGTGTGGTGGTGGTGGTGATGGGGGGTGGTCTGGAGATGCTGGCAGTGTTGTGCTAAGCTACTTCCTGTCCTCATCTGTTTCTAGGAGCAGGAGAAGGAGGCCCGGAGCAGGGCAGCTTATATCTCCACACTCCCTGCTCCACACTGGGGTAGGGGCTTCGATGAAGACAAAGACGAAGATGAAGGCTCCCCAGGGGGCTGCAATCCGGCTGGTGGCAGTGGTGACTTCCACAGACTGGTCTTCTAAGGGGAACTCCCACCTGTGGGGAGTCACAGCCAACCTCAGAGTGGGCCAGGCGGGGCTCGGGGCCCAGGCAGAACACTCTGCCATCTGGGGTCGTAGGAGCTGTGGAGGCAAGCCCAAGGTGAAGCAGGTCCCTTTGAGGGCAAGGAGGATGGAGAGGGACCACCTGGGATGTCAGTCTACAGCCTGAAGGGCACAGAGAAGCTGAAACCCAAAGCTCCTTAAGCAGTCATCATACTACGATGCTATGGTTAAGTGTCCTGACTAGCTGGGAGCAACTCGGATGAGGCCACCCTGGGCTTTGCCTCCCTGCAGGCCCCATCCTGGAAAGCCCAGCCAGCTCAGGTGTCAGTTTGGTGTCCTGTATCCGGTAGCACTTCTTTTTCTCTAGTTCCTTCACCCAGCCCCTCCTCCATAGGAGAAAAGCACAGCTGAAGTCAGGCCCTTGCACCCAGAAGGGGGCTGTTCCCTCTGCCCGCCTCGTTTCTTCAGGGGGTTCTTAGAACAAGGTGTGTGGGTGCCCGCACCCGCTGTGTGTTTGAGGCATATAGGGAAGGCAGCACAGCACAGGACCAGAGGTGAGACTCTTACCTGCCCCTCCCCTCCCCTCCCTAGCCTGCCTCAGTGCCTGAGATGCTGCCATGGCATCCCTGTCTAGTTAGGGTCTGGGTCCTTATTTTACTGAAGACAGTCGTCTGTCAGAAAGCCATTGTCGTTTGAGGAAGCTAGCTGGCTTGGCTCCTCTGGTAGAATGTGAGGGCTGGGTAGGTATGAACTGTGTAATGCGCACAGCCTCACTGTGCCCTGAGACTACTATAGCCCCTTCTCAGCGGAGAGAAGAAACCCGTGTTCTTAAATAGGAATAAAACTTGCTTCTCGGAAGCCTGTGCAGGGTGCTCTTCTTCCAGCTTGAGCTGTGGTGTCTGCGTCCTCTGGAATGCTCACTTGTGTCTAAGCAGTCTTGACAGTTACTCGGGCTCCTGGTAGGTAAGATGAGGATGTGCCCCTGTCCTGGGGACTTTAGATGTAGCAAGGAGGTGCTTGGTGCTAGGCCCTGGAGGCTCCAGAGCTGCCAAAGGTGTGGCTGAGGATGCTTCATGGGTTTGCCAGGTGAGCACAGAAACCCAAGAGTGGCTTTGCAGATTCCAGGAATTCTGAGCTGCGTTGAAACATCTGCCATCACTGCCTGCCTTTTTCACTCCTCTGGGAAGGGGGTCCTAGCCTGTTCCTGGCTAGACAAGGTGTGGGCTGGGACAAGCTGGGAAGCAGTTCTCCAACATTCCAGAGTCAACATCTAGCTCTTTTAAAAAGATTTATTTATTTTTATTGTATGAATGTGTGTCTTTGAGTGTCTGTGTACCATGTATGTGAGGAGGCCAGTAGAGGGCACCAGATCCCCTGGAACTGGAGGTACAGGCTGTTGTGAGCCACCTAAAGTGGGTGTTGGGAACCAAACAGCTGAGCCATCTCTCCGGTGCCACCACCCAGCTCTTTCCTCAGGTTACAGTCCCAATCTTGAAGCCAAAGAGGGACATGGGTGGCTGTGAATACAGGGAGGGTCTGGGACTGGCCTGCACCCCAGTCCCCTTCTTTCCACGCCTACTCATCCTCTTGAGAACAAAGCAGCTGGAAGGTTATAATGGTGCTGTGACAAGGGGTTTTAAGGGCTGTGGTAGAGGTTTTGGTCCAAATGCCAGACTCTGGAGCTGTCAGGGAAACGGACTGTCCTGCCCCTGCTTCAGCTTCTGGGGTTACAGGCATGCACCACTGCTCATGCCAGAGCTGGTCTAAGAAAAGAGGGTTCATTCCTGTTCCTGGCCTGGAAAAGTGCCCAATTCCGGCCCATCAAGTTGGACCGGAACTGGGCACACCAGCTCCTGGGCTCATTCTCTCTGAAATGAGTCTGTCAGAGAAGGTGCAGCTGTATGACAGCATCAGTCTCAAGGCTGCCCGGGATGGGACGAGAGGAAGTTTCCACGCCCCTAAAGACAGTCTCCAGCAGCCCACTCTGGGTTGCATTTCTAAAGGACTTTATTGCCCTGCTTCTACACCATAATAAAAAGGGACCTGCAAGCTCCAGGCCTGTACCATTTGTCACCACTGCAAAAACATGACTCACTTGAACACATTTCCCGCCCCACCCCCAGACCTCACAAGATAAATACATGTTACAAATTTTTTTTTGAAAACAGAATAAATTAATAACTTAAGTGATTAGGCACCAACAATGATTTGAAAAATTAAATGTCAATCTTAAATGGTAACAAGACACGAATGTAAGACTAGGCTGCTTCTACTTCATTTTTTCTCTTCCCAACAAATAGTGACAATACTGTGTGAAATGATTCTAAGTTTCAAGACACAAGTAACCAACAGATTACACAAGAACACACACCACCAGACACCATGACGGCACGAATCACCACCAGGTGCCCTGTCAAGTCTGGCTCTCCTGCTGGGCCCAGGCCCCAAATCTGGCAAGCCCAGAAAGATGGCCCTCTAAGGTTAGCCTGCTTCCCCATACTTACAGCCAAAGGCCCAACTGGAAGGGAGGAGCTACTTCCCCTCATGGCCTGTAAAACTCTGTTGTAGGGAGGGAGGGAGCTGTGGCTGGGACTCTAGCCACTGGAAGATAGAGGGCCCAAAGGCAGACTGGACACAAACCCACATTCTGGTAACTTCAGAATGGTTGTGCTTCTGTTCTGGGAATGGGGCTGATTTTCGTGGAGTCAAATAGAGCTATCAGAAAAATACAGATAGAGAAGGATGGAGTTGACTAGCTAATGTTCTGTGTGCTGCCTGTCCCCAGTGACCCAGACCTTCAAAGGATCCCACAGGGTCTCCTTACAGCAACAGAGCATCACTGTGACCATCCCATTTCACAGACTGGCAAGTCTCAAGGAGATGCCATCTCCTTTCTAAACTGTTCCTCCTCCACTTTAACCTTGCAGGGTGGATCTGGAGGAGTCGCTGCAGGACAGGTGCTTGTGGGAGCTATGCTAGCAAAGAGGTGATGAGTGTTCTGGGGTCTCATTCCTTGACAGCCACCGTGTGTGTGTGTGTGTGTGTGTGTGTGTGTGTGTGTGTGTGAATTTTGACCTTTGGTAGGCCAAAGGATTTTTTTTTAAATGGAATTGGCTTTTCCTATTTGGGGGTTGGAGGATGGGTTAAGAGTCTGGGAATTTTGAGTCAGAGTTCAGCTTTCCAAAGGTTGGAACCAGAGCAAGACTAACTAGACTTGAACACCTCAGTGTTGATAAATGGCGGCCAGTTCCACCCACATGGCATACTCAACTCAAAGAATGCACTCTGGGGTGGCTGCTGAGACCATGATACCTGGACCTGCTATGAACCCAGCAGTACCAGTCAAAAGCTTAGCCACATGGGAGCCCCAGGACTCAAGAGTCTTAAAGGGCACCACAAGGATGGGCAAAGCCAGCCAAGTACCCTGTAACCCTGTTCAGTGCAACCAACCACAGCCCCATTTCACTCCAGGTGACAGCACACACCTCTGAGGCTGGCTTCATACCTTCAAACATCTTCCGTTCTCAAAGCTCAGGCTTCCCCCACCCTGCTCCTCCAGGGACCCAGCCCTGCCTACCTTTCCTGCCTAACTTAGTCTGCTCCCTCCCTGATGCCTCCCCTCCCTGTGGCCCAGTCTCCCTTAGCACCTCCCCTTCCTCTGTACTTGTAAGTAGTCTTTAGCTTCCACTTTTCTCACTGATTGCGACCTCCAGTTAGGGACAAGGTATGATTCATCTGTAGCACAGAGCTTGGCAACCATTACTTAATTAAATGATCCATCCTAATGTGAGAAGAGGGTCTATTACTGAGGGACTCCTAGTTAGGACTATCGCGAGAGGAGAGAGGTGAGGTGTGCCTTTAGTTGCCGAAAGGTCCTAGTTTTAGAGGACAAATGGTCTGTTCATCTAAGACAAAATGAAATGCTGGTTTGCCCTATTTTCTCTGAAATGCTTGAAGATTGGTTAACAACTTTCCACACAACACATTCCGATCTCCCTGCCGTGTCTTAGCCTTAGGTGATGTCTGCTTGCTGTCTCTGACGCCATGGGAGGAGAGGGATAATCTCTCCTGGGGCTGAGGACAGCAGAGAGAAGAGCTGAGAAAAAGACCTGGCCTGGCCCTCGGTCAAGGGTGTCTCTATCAGGCACAAGCCGTTACCCAGATCCTCATGTGTTGCCTAGATTTGATCAAGTATGGCTCCTCCCCCTTCTGCTTCCTGCTGCACTCCAGCACGTGGCCTTGGGCTCTCCATCAGGCCCTCTGCACACCTCTGCACCTGCTACAACCTGCCTCCCAGCCCTTAAGGCATCTCTGCACCTCTTACCTCCTAGACACCTGCGTCCTGTGCCATCGCCGCCATAGCCCGTGCTGCTCCGTGCCTAGCACCCTCCTCCTGTCCCAGGGTCCCCCTGCCTCCCAGCCCCTGCATCACCCCTACTCTTTCCAGCTCTGTCTCATTTCTCCATCAGGGCCGGGGAAGAGCACTGCCTGTTCCAGGTGGCAGACTCCTCTATCCCCGGGGTTTGTCACCTCAAGCCCTGTTCCTTGTTGTTCCTGGTTGCCTGTCTTTACCAGTTTTCCTTCCTGCTGCCCTTCATCCTTTGCTTCCCAGTCTACAGCAGCGGGTCCCCATGGCCTGATAATTGGGTATCACCTTGCAGGTGACCAGCTACCCTTCTGTTCCTGGGAACCTAATTTCTTTGTCACTCGAAGCAACTTCTGACCTTCATTATCAACCTTTCTTCTTGTGGCACCTTGCCTTTCCCTTGCCCATAACAGCAGGGGTGCGAAAGCCCCTGTCTACTTTAGTCTGCTGGTCCTCCGCTTCCTGGGTTATCATCCTCGAGGGATGGAGAAGCAGCCCTGAGGTAGAGGGTAGAGAGCGGTGAGCAGACATGAGGCATGAGCCTGGCTCAGAGCCTCAGCCCTCCCTCTAAGAGTCCAAGCAGCAGACACATGGGTCCAAAGCAGGAGGCTTTTTTGGCAACAGCTCCTAACTAAGGTGGTGGAGGCACAGCTAGTAGTATTGACAGAAGTCATGGGTGGACCCCACGTGGCTGAGGAGTGTCTCCATCAGGGCCTTGCCTCCAAGGGGAAGGGTCAGGGTCCCTGATGTTGAGTGCTTTAAAGGCTGAAAGTGGTACAGAGGAGAGGAGGGGTGGGGAGGGATGGAGAAGGTGACAAAGAAGAGCCAGCTCTGAGCAGCTGCCTCATGGCCCTTGAGCTGCCTTGGCGGCCCCTTTATCACAGCTTGGCACCCTTGGAAGGTTCTGAGGACTGCCGCACATCTGTCCACTCCTGCATGGTGTTCTGCAGGGCCTGGGTCTTCTCTTTATCCACTTGGACATAGTCTACCTTCTCATCCGATGTGACAGATGATGTGGATGGCTGAGGGGACAAAAGGAATGACCGAGTTACCTATATAAGGCTGTCACTTTGAATGGCCTCAAGGTCTTGTCTGTGCTGAATGTGAACTTCAAAGTGAAATCATATGTGGGGGCGCTAAGCCTGCTGGCACCCTGCTTCCCAGCTTTCAGGATAACCCCACCACACCTGGGCCTTGCTCCTGGTTCAGGCCTTCACTAATGCTTCCTCCCATCTTCCTTTGGCCACACTTCCAGGGAAAGGATTCCCATGAAAAGGGAGAAGCACCAGGCCTTAGAGCCCTCATAACATGCTGAGGGGACTGTGTTGAGGCGGACTTCCTCCTTGCTCTCTGGGCTGAGAGTAGTTCTTGGCCAGGCGTTCCCAGGCCTGGAAGTCCCTTCCAAGGGATATTGTGTCGTCATCAGGGCTCATCCAGTGTTTGTCGTTGGTTTTGTTTTTGTTTTTAAGGCTAGGGAGACAGGAGCTCCACGTCTTGGATTGCTCACTGAATCTCTTTGTAATCCTGAGCAAGGAGACTGATGGGTAGACTGATGACAGTCACTAGACTGTGGGGACTGGTGCCCGGCAACCCCAGTTAAAGTGCAGCAAGTCATATACAACGTCTCTGGAATGGGTCTCCTAGTCCCCAGCCCCCAGGTACCTTGCGGTGAGGGCTCGGGGAGCCTGGCTGGAAGTCCAGGGCTAGGTAGTCCACACTGCCAGTACTCTTCTTTGGAGCTGGGCTGTTGGTGCCACTGGGAACAGGGGATGCAGACACTGGGTTTTGCTACAACAGAGAGTAAAACTGGGTGAGTTTAACAGCCCAAACCATCACCTTGAAAACCTATGGGAACAAGAGCTCTTTACTGTGTCCTGCATTGAGCCACGCATGTGACTTTTCACAGTCTCATGTAAGTCTACACTGCAGTCGGGGAGGTGGAGATCACTACTGTTCAAATCACTAAAGGCTAAAAACGAAGGTTCAGGAAGTACATCGAGTCACCTATGCTTGCACAGCCGGTGTGTGATGGGAGCTAGTGGTTTTTTTCTTTAAAAGATGATTTAAAAAAAAAACAAAAAACTTTTTTTGTGCATTGATATTTTGCCTGCATGTATTTCTGTGTGAGGGTGTCAGATCCCCTGAAATTAGGGTTACAGTTATGAGCTGCCATGTGGGTGCTGGGAATTGAACCCAGGTCCTCTGGAAGAGGCTCTTAACCACGGAGCCATCTCTCCAGCTCCCAGGGATGTTTTCTGACTACCCATGTATTTGGCTGCCTCCCTTTAGGGAGGCTCAAGGCAATTCTTAGGTACCGTCTCTCCTCAAGGCCCAGCCTCAGTTTGCAGGTCCCTGATAAGCAACTTTCTCCCACACTTGGTGATGCAGAGTTTTCCTATCACATCTGGCCACAAGCAGCTGGAGCCCTCTGCTCTACAGGAACCTGAACGAGTCACCTTGTTTCTGGGTGACAGGCCTTCATTTCTTCAGCCATTCTTCATGTGAGGGGTTCTAGGCTGTTTATGTCTGAACCGTGCCTAAGGTCTGATTGCAGTAAGAAGTGACAGTCCCATTTTAATGATTGATCTGTTCTCCGAATCTCTAGCCTTGCACCCGTGCCCTTGTCAGTGACCTCAGAGAGGAACCGTAGTATGCTGTGTGTGTGTATTTCTACTACTGCCACCACCACGGGAGTTATACACCTGCACGTCTCTCCAAGGGCACCAATCATGATGTCATCTGAATTACGGCAGTGAGAGACAGACCACCAAGGGTCTTTAAGAGACAGACCTCCATGGGGACAAAGCTGTGTCTTTCTAATGGCAGAAAACAACTGTTGTTTGACATTCATCTGTCCAGGAAGGTTCTGCAGCAGGAGGCTAACTTCATCCAGTGCAAGGCGGCCATGGCCTGAGCAGGGAAGAACTGGGAGGCTGGCCAGTGAGTGCTTGAGGACTCACCATAGGGACGTAGTTCTCCTCGCTGTCTCCCGAGTCTGTGCTGGTGATGCTTTGTGTGGAGATGGGGCGGCAGTACTGGGAGGAGCTGGAGTTAGAGGTGTGGCTGTTGGACAGAGAACAGAGTGAACCTGGAGGATCGACAGTTCTTAAACCCCAGACCTGGGCCACCAGAGCTTCCCACTTCCATTTTCAGACTGAGATCTAATATAGGGAGATTTTAAATCATTTCTCCTTCACAGATCAGGAAAACAATCCCAATAGATTGAGACAGATTAATAAAACAGAAGATGGTTGGCATCTGGAAAAACCCACCCTAACTGTGTGGAGTGCCAGCCAACTAGGAGCAGCCAGGCAGGACAGGCATGCTTTTTCTTTCGGGCTGTCATGCCCTCCTCTCTGCTATGATGATTCTGCTTTGCCACAGGCCTCAGATGAGCCAAATGACCATAGATTAAAACCACGAACCAAAATAAATCTCTCCCCCTCTTGAATTGTTTACACGCCATGTTTTGTAACAAAACTCAGAAACCGAACAAAGCCCCTAATATGCATGAGCATCAAAATCCTGGTGTCCCGACCCCCAGGCCAGCTATCACCCAATTCTGACACCAAGATCCTGCTTCTACACACACTCACTTGACCCTGGACCAAGACTTGGTGACAGGTGACTTGAAGGGGAGCTCATCGATGACAGTGTTGTTTCTCAGGTCCAGGGGTGTTGGCTTTGCTACAGTTGGAACAGAGTTCAGGTATCAGTGGCTACACTACATAGACACATACTATATGTATCACACAAGCACATTTTCAAAGGCCATCAGTTTTATACAGGGGATCTGGTTTCAGGATTCCCAGAGATATCACACTCCAGATACTCCAGTCCACATCTTCACATTCTAAAGCATGTGAGGGTGTAAGATCTCCTGGAATTGGAGTTACAGTTATGAGCTGCCATGTGGGTGCTGGGAATTGAACCCAGGTCCTCTGGAAGAGGCTCTTAACCACTGAGCCTTCTCTCCAGCTCCCAGGGATGTTTTCTGACTACCCATGTGCCCGGCTGCCTCCCTTCAGAGAGGCTCAAGGCAATTCTTAGGTACCGTCTCTCCTGGAAGGCCCAGCCTCAGTTTGCAGGTCCCTGATAAGCAACTTTCTCCCACACTTGGTGATGCAGAGTTTCATCATGTATCCTTTCCACTGTATCTATAGGAATCAGACTTGCAGAATCCAAAATGGGACTCAATAGGTTTAAGAACAGGGATTCTCCCCAGGTTTGTGACTTCTTATAAAATCAGAGACTGTATTCAGAACAGAGACAGTTGCTGTGACTACTATGGTTGATTTTAGACACTGTCGTGAAAGTCAGTGATGAGTAACTAGCGTAGGACCTGTAAGCCTCAACTTCACACGTTCAGAGTCCTAGTCAGCCAGACCCATGGGCTACATCTCTGCCCAACTTCCATCTCTTCCCTTTGAATACCTGCTGCTTGGCTAAGGCCAGCAGAAATCTAGTTTGGACATTTTCCTGACCTTCATGCAGGTCATGGATCTACTACTGCACAACTGTAGTCTACACACATGTAGACTACATGACACATTCTAGATGCTTTCCTTTTGAACAAATCTGAAGTCTGGATTTGCATTGTTTGTACACAGTCACACACCTCTAAGTCTACTATACACCAGATCTCTAAGCAAATGCTTTCTAGAGACAGAATGGGGCCAAGAGTGGACTCACCTTTCCGGTCAGGCTTGAGGTTGCGATTGACCGGGGGTGGCTGGATCTCACTTCCTCGGCTGGGACCTCTATGGATAGGAAGGGCTGTGGATGGGTAGCCAAGCGGGTCAAAGTGATGGGGCCCTGGGCTCATGGGGATGTAGACACTTTGGGAATTGTCCCCTGCTCGTTCCATAGCCAGCAGGGTAGAAGAACCTGGGTTCATGGGCACATAGTTGTCATCAGAGCTGGCACTGTCTGATCGACCCACAATAGTCTTCCCTGGCTAAAAGAAAAGAAAAAAAAAAAAAAAGAATAAAAGACCTGCTTGCAACTAGTGAAAAGAAGTAAGGTGAGACTCTGCACAAGCTCGTTGAAGCAACAAGAACGACCTTGGGAAGACCAAATAAGGAAGTATAGTGGGAATGGGGGAGAAATGAGCTCCGCAAGTTCCTTCTTGTTTTCACGACTTCTTGGGAGCCATCTATGACTTGTGATAAGACTTAAGTACAAAACTCTGTGGCTACTCAAGCCCATGGCTTATGGCTAGGAGTATTCGGGTTCCAGATGCCTGGCTAAGGCAGAAGGTAGTCCAGGCCAGAGACAGCTCAGGATTCACCACTGGTAAGTCAATCTAGACCCTCACCAGGGCTCTCAAAGGTGAGGTTTGCTAGCTACACTTGCCCTGTCTATCATCCCAGGCACCTAGGTCATAGCAAGTTGTAGGTAGAGCAGTCACAGGCCTGTATAAATAGGCAGCAGCCCTAACTACAGCCATTCTCCAGCTCTCTTCTTCACTGTCTCTCCAGTGGGCTTGCACCTAAGCCCTCATCAGCTCTCTTTCAACCTGGACAACCCATTCCAAAGGCAGCCTGGGATCCTCATGGAAGCTGTCATCTGCTGTGTTCCTATGCGGCATACAGTGAGCAGGGCTGTTGCCTTAGAGGACTCTCTACTTGGGAGTGTGTCTGCTGCACTGTATTCCAGTCTGTCTTCGGATCAGATGAGGGTACCATTTTCACTTACCAAAAACACCTCCCTAGGATGTTGGACTTTGACAAGTAGGCAGATCCTGAGGGAAATGCCATCGTTCTTTGGGTGTTGTGCTTTGAGTTACATGGGGTGTGGCTTCTTCTCTACCCTGACTAGGCCAGGGGGCCCTGATCAAATCCCACCTCCCAGGAAAGGATTAACACTCTCACTCACAGATTCAGCAGACCAACTGGCACTCTCTCCGCCTCGAGTTGGGTACTCATAGGTCTCACAGGAAGAAGCTGTGATGAAGGAAGGAAGATGGTTTATACTCATACTGTTCCCACGTTGACGCTCCCTGTCCCTGCCCAGTGTGGCCATTCTGCTGATAGTCCCAATGGTACTGCTGTGTCTTCGAGGGACAGGGTATTGCTTGCTACTCACCCCGCTTGATCACAAGCTCTGCTTAATTCTCAGATCTGTTGCAGTGTGGGTATCTGCAGAGGGTCTCCTGACCTCAGCCCTCGGTTCTTCTCGTACCTCCCACTAGGCCCTCTCTCACCTCTGGGAATACTTTAGGAATGGCACTTAGGCTAATTACATATGTTCGTTTTCTTCTTCCAATAGGAAGTGAGCTTTGAAAGGCAGGGGCGTGTTGTGTATGTGTTACACAGTTCCAAAGCACAGGGTGACTGCTCAGCTAGCCTGACTGACTGCAGAGTTGGAAAGGGGGGGCCCGGCCCCAGAGGCTTGAGGCTCATCTGTGCTGCTGTCACAGCAGGGGGATGAGAAGGCTGTGCAAGCTCTAATGAGAGCTCACTAAGCATAGGGCATGTGCAGAGTTAGAATTAATTCACAACACGTGAGGACAGAACTTAGGGGCCTCAAGTCGAAGTTCAGACTACAGCCAGAGGTTCTGCTATGACATGAAAATACCCTGAAGATAATTTCATATTATTTTCTTTGAGTACACATAGGTTTGGCTCCAAAAGTCTGCCAATCTTCTAAACTTGTTTTTACATCTTTGGCTTTAGTTTTAAATAATCACAATAGTTTTATTTGAACCTCCAAAACCAAAATACCAGCAACTCTAAGGCAGAGTCTGCTACACTTCTGCCACGGTGGGTCTCATACTGACAGCTGGGCAGAGGATCAGCTGCTAAGGGGATGCATAGAAGATGTCTTAGCGTGTGTCACTGAACTGAGTGGTCCTTAGGTTGATCTTGGCCTGGGGTGACCAAGGGCTCACAATACATTGAGAATGCCTGGGCCACCTCCCTGGCCCTCTGGTCTCATCCAGGGATTACACTGACCTCGGTGGAGTCGGCTGTTGTCCATTGCGGGGAGAGTATTGCGTCTGGGGATAGTAGCAGCTACAGATCTACTATGTTCGCTGATTGGAGGTCTTTGCTGAGGGCTGCCCCACCGAGGTGTTTCTGCCTGACTTGGCTTGGGGGGGCGGGGTGGGGGAGCTATGGCTGAGTCTCCAGGAGTGGCCATTGTCATGGCATTGTGGTTTTTGTCCAGTGTGAATGTTCTAGGGATCTGGTAGGCTGAGAGAGGGGTGGTTGGAACATCCATATTGTCCACTAGGAGGTCTCCAAACTCCCGGCACAGGGTGTTGCTGGGTGTCTTGAAGGTGTACACATCCTCAGTATCTGTCACGGACCCTGTGAGGCTGCCCTTGGTGTGGCCATGTGAAGCCAGGCTACGGGGGAGGTCGTAAGTACTGTCTTTGAATTCTGTATTGTGTCGGCTTGGCTTGGGAAGGCTATAGAAGCCATGGACTTGACCGCTGACTCCATTGACACAGTGTCCATTGCCCTGGGCAAGTTTTTGCATGGCTGTATCACTCTTCTGCCGGGTGCCCTGAGAGAAGCTGGCACTCCT